CCGGGGGCCGCCGCTGGAGAGGGCAGAACTGGCGCCAACCGATTCAGATCCTCAGTCGACTCATCTTGGCCCAACCTCCGAAGCGGTCAACCCCGCCCAGAAAGCCCCCCCCCCAGGAACCCGAGCGCATAGAAGACGCAGTTCCACCCCACACAACTCCAGAAGAGGAGGCCGCTAGGGGGCAGCCCCAGCCAACAGGAGCGCCCGCAGAAGCACCCCCACGCCCCCCTGAACACAGGAGCCGACGCAGCAGATAATCAGAGCACCCTGTAGCTAGGAGGCAACAAACCAGGACCCGAAACCGACAGGCACGACAAGCCTGCCCAACGGGACCGAGGAATCGCTCTAGAAGGAGGCCAGGTGCGACAAGACCCGACGAGGATAACTCGCGATCGCTCAGGGCAATGTGGGAGGTCCCGCCGACGGCGGGCAGGCACAGCGGACCCGCAAGGGGCGCTACACGAAGCGCCGTCGGGGCGCAAGGCCCAGGGAAAAGGGTTAAGAAGAGCAAGATCGAGAACCCATATGCAGGCCCCCACTGAACCCACGGCGGCGCCGCAGCTGGCGGACGTCCTGCAGCAGATATGGGCCCAGCATAGAGACCGAGGCGCAGGGCTCTCACCAGTGGCACCCCCCGACCAGGTCCTGGCCGCATGCCGAGTGGCCAGACTGGACAACAATCTAATTCTTGAAACCCTCAGGACCCTACATGAACAGGGCAGCAGGCCGGAGTCGTGCCACAAGGGAGACGGGCCGCGGGCACCAGCGAGGACGGGAGGCGCACCCCTCTACACCTCGTATCCCTCGTCGACGGGTGGGGACTCGCTAGACTCGCCATAGGCGACCTTGTCCACAAACTCGGAGCCGGTCACAGATTTCGGTCATCAGCCTTCGCTGAACACAACAGAGAGGCAGCTGAGGCAGTCGCGCGAAGATGGAGCGCAGCTCCCGACCCTCAGGACGGAGGCCCTCCGCACCAGCAGCTGGCGGCGGACGTATGGGACGTCTTCCGCCAGAGAGACCCACTTGACAACAGGACGCCATGGGAAAAACACTTCGACTCCCTGGAGCAGGGCTGCACACTGCTCATTGTGGCAGGCCCTCCCTGCAGCAACCTATCCGCAGCAGGGCAGTTCGCTGGAAACGACGGGCTGGCCGGCGCCCAGTCGTGCTGCTTCCTTGCTGTCCCAGTAGCTTGGCACCTGGCAAACAAACGAAGGCCCGACCTCACGATCTTGGTGTCGGTGGAAAACGTCGCCTCCATGCCCGCGGCGCACCGCAAGGTCACGTGTGCAGCCATGGGGGACCTGAACCCCGAATGGGCGGTCAAAATGAACGCGGGAGATGCAGTTGCCAGCCCGAGAGAAAAGCTCTGGTTCGGGAACTTCCCACCCCCAATCGACACCATCTCCTACCCCCGCCTCCCCAGCCCTTGGGAACAAAGGTGGGCTTTCAGACCAGACGTAAGGATCCCGACCTGGACACAATCCAGGGCACTCCCAGGAGACCCAGACTGGATCCTCCCGAGTAGCTACCAGACCCACCTACTCTGCCTCCTGTACGACGAGGACAGCAGCCTGAGATGGTTCCTCAGGAACCCAAGTGAGCTGAAGCATGGGGCGCGAGGGGTACTCGCAGAATGCGGAGCCGAACGGCGCTTCCCCGGGTGCACAGAAGGACTGAACCTCGTGGTTGTCAGATAGCACAGGGATGGGGAGCAGCAAGAGCTTGCGCAGGGATGCAATGCCCCTGGGCGCAGCTCAGGGAGCGCCCCCTCCCGGTCGACCTTGCAGAGCGACTGCTACAGACGGGTGGCCTCTTCCCCCGATCGCCGCTCCCCTAGACTCCGGAGAGGGCCCCAGAACGCTCCATCAGGCGCCGGGGTCCCCGCCCAGGCACCAGCTGGTCCCCGGGCCCCGTGCTCGGGCCTGGCGAACCGCCTGCCTTGCTCTCAACCGAGCCATCGAGGCGCTCAGTCGGCATAAGTTCCGCGGCCCGCGGGGCCTATGGAGTCTCCTTCACACCGACCCTTGGGACCAGCCCACCTGGGGCACCCTCTGCGGCACGCGCACCTTTGATGACCTGATCCACGCACTCGACGCCGCCCCCGCCTGAAACCTCCCCAAGCTGGTCAGTTGGAACGTCAGGTACCTTCGGAGCTGCACGGCCGCCAAGAACCAAATCAAGCACGCCGTCCACACCCAGACGACAATGAACAACCGCATCGGCCTAATTTGAGGGAGTTTCTGTGGAACTACCGTCATCCTCACCCCCGGCGCGGGGAGCAGAGGAGCCCACAGCGGCCTCCGGCACCGTTTCCGGACAGATCCGGTGGATCCGCCGACGAATCCCAAACCAGCGCCCTCGCTTGAGACATCCTCACAAAACCGGCCCCGGGGGCGGTGCCCAGAGGAGCCCAGAGCGGCCTCCGGCACCGTTTCCGGACAGATCCGGTGGATCCGCCGACGAATCCCAAACCGGCGCCCTCGCTTGAGACATCCTCACAAAACCGGCCCCGGGGGAGGTGCCCAGAGGAGCCCAGAGCGGCCTCCGGCACCGTTTCCGGACAGATCCGCTGGATCCGGTGGATCCGCCGACGAATCCCAAACCGGCGCCCTCGCTTGAGACATCCTCACAAAACCGGCCCCGGGGGAGGTGCCCAGAGGAGCCCAGAGCGGCCTCCGGCACCGTTTCCGGACAGATCCGGTGGATCCGGATCCGCCGACGAATCCCAAACCGGCGCCCTCGCTTGAGACATCCTCACAAAACCGGCCCCGGGGGAGGTGCCCAGAGGAGCCCAGAGCGGCCTCCGGCACCGTTTCCGGACAGATCCGCTGGATCCGGTGGATCCGCCGACGAATCCCAAACCGGCGCCCTCGCTTGAGACATCCTCACAAAACCGGCCCCGGGGGAGCCCCGTCCAGCAGCCTCCCCGGCAACTCGCTTTCCATACGAGCACCCGAGTCTGGCCCGCCTGAGGCAGTCCGAGCCTGGCAAATCAGCCGCGCTGCTACAGCCACTGCCGCCACCCGCTGCCCCCCGCCCAAACCGCCGCCGCCGCCGCTGCCGCTGCCGCTGCCGCTGCCGCCGCCGCCGCCGTCGCCCCGCCGCAGCCGCCGCAGCCGCCGCCACGCCGCCGCAGCCGCGGCAGCCGCCGCCACCGCCAAGTGTACTCTGTATTGTTTTTTAACAGGGATGGTGGTGGGGGTGGGGGGGGGGGGCGCATCGGGTTGGCTGCGCATGTTCCGAATTTGGAGGCAGAGTGTGTTTTGTATTGTTTGTTTACAAGGGATGGTGGGGGGGGGTCGGCATGGACCCTGGTTGGCCCCCAGTCGCCTGGGGGAGGGGGTGTTTATTCATAGGGAACAGTGATACACCCTTTCCCGAAGGGGAAGAAGGGGGTGGAAGAGGAAACGCCCTAAACCACCTACGCCCAGAGGGCTGGTGGGATTACTTTTTGTCCCGGGTCAGCGCCGATTGACATTTTGTCCATACCAGCCTGCCTTGTTTATATCCGTAAGGGCTTCGCCCCCTGCCGCCGGCCCCCTCTCTCGGAGAATGGGCCATGGAAGAGCTAAGTCATGAGGCCTTGGCGCTGTCGTGAAGCAGTATCGAAACTTCATGCGAAGCCGAGTCGCAATCAGCAAAACCAACTGATCACAAGAGGGGTTACCACACCTGGCGATTGGTAAGACGTGTATGGTTTAAGGGCTTGGTTACCACACCTTGCGATGAAAGGGCCGAGGGAGTTCTCGCAGTTTGGGTTACCACGCCTTGCGATGGATGTGCGTGATGGGTTCGAATTTCAGAAATGTGGCAAATCCCCTGTGTTTTTGGACCCTGACCCCGCGGATCTGCGTGAGGGGTGGCACCGAATTTCAGAAATGTGGCAAATCCCTTGTGTTTTTGGACCCTGACCCCGCGGATCTGCGTGAGGGGTGGCACCGAATTTCAGAAATGTGGCAAATCCCATGTGTTTTTGGACCCTGACCCCGCGGATCTGCGTGAGGGGTGGCACCGAATTTCAGAAATGTGGCAAATCCCTGTGTTTTTGGACCCTGACCCCGCGGATCTGCGTGAGGGGTGGCACCGAATTTCAGAAATGTGGCAAATCCCTTGTGTTTTTGGACCCTGACCCCGCGGATCTGCGTGAGGGGTGGCACCGAATTTCAGAAATGTGGCAAATCCCTGTGTTTTTGGACCCTGACCCCGCGGATCTGCGTGAGGGGTGGCACCGAATTTCAGAAATGTGGCAAATCCTTTCTGTTTTTGGACCCTGACCCCGCGGATCTGCGTGAGGGGTGGCACCGAATTTCAGAAATGTGGCAAATCTCATGTGTTTTTGGACCCTGACCCCGCGGATCTGCGTGAGGGGTGTCGATTTCGAGCCCCCCCAGCAATTCAGACAACGCGCCCAGGGGACGCTGGAAAATCCTGTTTGGGCTTCCCCCCCCCTCGCGCGGTCAATCAACTAGTTACAGTAACCAGCAAGAAGCAGAACTGTAACACTGGAAACTAGAAACTACAACTGGTACAGGAAACTGCGAATCACGTGCCTACAGCCTGGTGGCCCCACAAGGGGGCCGGCGGATTAACCGCTTCGCTCATTCGGCCGGCCCTGGAGCCCTCTTTAGGGCCTCTTGGGGGCCTCTGGGGGACCTCTTGGGAGTCTCTTGGGGCTCCTTGGCGGCGTCTTGGGGGCCCCCAGGGCCTCTTGGGGGGCACTTGGGGGCCTCTTGGGGCGGGAGGGGGGGGGTAGTCGATTGCGGTTCCCCCCTCGGAGGCCACGATCCTCGTGAGTGGTGTCGAAAAATTGCCCAGTCCGGCATTTCTGACCCGAGTCTGCCGGGACCCTGCCGGGGTATTTCTCGCCCGGAGACCCCCAGGGGCCGCCCCGCGCGCGCGAAGTTGAATATTGTTATCCAGTTACCGGGGATCTTAGCACGCCTCTGGCCCGTTGGGCCGGCGAATTGTTGGCTCTGTGGCCCGGCGGCACCCAGGAGTTCTCGAGGTTACAGCGAGAGCACAAGAGCCTGATGCAGCACAATTACAAGCTGCAGGAGCTCGAGCAGAAGGCGCAATCGGAGCCGCAGCGCCGTCCTTTCCCCCTCCTCCCCTCTTCCTCCTTCTCCCTCTCCTGCGTCAGGGGACGGGTCCCACCGCGCCTCCTCTCTTCGCCAGAAGAGGGAAGCCTGAAGCTTCTTCGCGCAGATTTTCCACTGGCTCTCTGCCCCGTTCTCTCGGAGCTTGCTGTTGCCATCCTGGGACCCTGGAGTCCTCCCTCTCCTGCTCGTCAGCCTCCTCGTTTCGTCCTAGTCCGCCGCCCCTCCTCCTCTTGCTCTCCCTCCCCGTTCTCTCAGCCCTCGTCCGCGCACCCACGCCCATGTCTCTCTCAGCAGCCTGCCTCGGCAAAGCGCAGCGGAAGCCTGAAGCCCGGGGAACGGCAACGCAAGACGGCCTCCATGCACTCGCGCCTGAGTCCCCCACATTCGACCGCATGTGTCGTACCTGCCAGAATCAAGAAAGTGGAGGCAGAGGTGGATGCGGAGGTGGAGGCGGAGGCCGAGGGGGAGGCGGAGGCCGGAGGCCGGAGGCGAAGGCGGAGGCGGAGGAGGAGGCGGAGGCGGAAGGCGGAGGCGGAGGAGGAGGCGGAGGAGGAGGCGGAGGCGGAGGCGGCGGAGGCGGCGGCGGCGGCGGCGGCGGCGGAGGAGGAGGAGGAGGAGGAGGAGGAGGAGGGGGGAGGAGGAGGAGGAGGGCGGTGGAGGGGGAGGAGGAGGAGGAGGAGGAGGAGGAGGAGGAGGAGGAGGAGGAGGAGGAGGAGGGATGAAGGAGGAGGGATGAAGGAGAGGAGGAGGAGGAGGAGGAGGAGGAGGAGGAGGAGGAGGAGGAGGGAGGAGGAGGAGGGAGGGGGGGGGGGGGAGAGGCGGAGGTGGAGGCGGAGGGGGAGGCGCAGGCGGAGGCGGAGGCGGAGGCGGAGGAGGAGGAGGAGGAGGAGGAGGAGGAGGAGGAGGCGGAGGAGGAGCAGGAGGGCGGAGGAGGAGGAGGAGGAGGAGGAGGAGGAGGAGGAGGAGGAGGAGGAGGAGGAGGAGGAGGAGAAGGCGGAGGCGGAGGCGGAGGTTGAGGCGAGGGGGGAGGCGGAGGCGGAGGCGGAGGCGGAGGCGGCGGAGGAGGCGGTGGAGGAGGAGGTCCCCTGGGGGGCTGCGATCTGCGAAACTGTCGTCAGTTCGTAGGCTCCTGGGAGGCCCAGCGGAGGTACGTCTTAGACAGATCACCACGAGACCTCGCCGTCCGCTGGGGGGCTGGGATCTGCGACGCTGTTGCCACTTTTGTGGGCTCCTGTACTCCCAGCGGAGGTACGTTTTACGCAGATCACCACGAGACCTCGCCGTCCCCTGGGTAGCTGCGATCTGCGAAACGGTCGCCACTTTCGTGGGCTCCAGGGCGGCTCAGCGAAAGCACGTCTTACGCAAGATCACCACTCACGAGACCTCGCCGTCCCTTGGGGGGCTTGTCGCCACTTTCGTGGAGTTCTGGAAGGCCCAGCGGGGGTACATGCGTCTTACGCAGATCACCACGAGACTTCGCCGTCCCTTGTGGAGGCAGAGGTGGATGCGGAGGTGGAGGCGGAGGCCGAAGGGGAGGCGGAGGCCAGTGGCGAAGGCGGAGGCGGAGGAGGAGGCGGAGGAGGAGGCGGAGGCGGAGGCGGCGGAGGCGGCGGCGGCGGCGGCGGCGGCGGCGGCGGCGGCGGCGGAGGAGGAGGAGGAGGAGGAGGAGGAGGAGAGGAGGAGGAGGAGGAGGAGGAGGAGGAGGAGGGGGAGGAGGAGGAGGAGGGAGGAGGAGGAGGAGGAGGGCGGTGGAGGAGGGAGGAGGAGGAGGAGGAGGGGAGGAGGAGGAGGAGGAGGAGGAGGGATGAGGAGAAGGAGGAGGATGAAGGAGGAGGGATGAAGGAGGAGGGATGAAGGAGGAGGAGGAGGAGGAGGAGGAGGAGGAGGAGGAGGAGGAGGAGGAGGAGGAGGGAGGAGGAGGAGGAGGAGGAGGAGGAGGAGGAGGAGGAGGAGGAGGAGGAGGAGGAGGAGGAGGAGGGGGGGGGGAGAGGCGGAGGTGGAGGCGGAGGGGGAGGCGCAGGCGGAGGCGGAGGCGGAGGCGGAGGCGGAGGAGGAGGAGGAGGAGGAGGAGGAGGAGGAGGAGGAGGAGGAGGAGGAGGAGCAGGAGCAGGAGGGCGGAGGAGGAGGAGGAGGAGGAGGAGGAGGAGGAGAAGGCGGAGGCGGAGGCGGAGGTTGAGGCGAGGGGGGAGGCGGAGGCGGAGGCGGCGGAGGAGGCGGTGGAGGAGGAGGTCCCCTGGGGGGCTGCGATCTGCGAAACTGTCGTCAGTTCGTAGGCTCCTGAGAGGCCCAGCGGAGGTACGTCTTAGACAGATCACCACGAGACCTCGCCGTCCGCTGGGGGGCTGGGATCTGCGACGCTGTTGCCACTTTTGCGGGCTCCTGTACTCCCAGCGGAGGTACGTTTTACGCAGATCACCACGAGACCTCGCCGTCCCCTGGGTAGCTGCGATCTGCGAAACGGTCGCCACTTTCGTGGGCTCCTGGGTGGCTCAGCGAAAGCACGTCTTACGCAAGATCACCACTCACGAGACCTCGCCGTCCCCTGGGGGGCTTGGATATGCGAAACCGTCGCCACTTTCGTGGGGTTCTGGAAGGCCCAGCGGGGGTACATACGTCTTACGCAGATCACCACGAGACTTCGCCGTCCCTTGTGGGGGCTGCGATATGCGAAACGGTCGCCATTTTCGTGGGCTCCTGGGAGGCCCAGCTGAGGTGCGTCTTACGCAAATCAGCACGTGACCTCGCCGTCCCCTGGGGGACTGCGATCTGCGACATTGTTGCCACCTTCGAGGGATTCTTTGAGGCCCAGCGGAGGTGCGTCTTACGCAGATCAACGGGGGGCTTGGATGTGCAAAGCTGTTGCCACTTTCGTGGGCTCCTTGGAGGCTCAGCTGAGGTACGTCTTACGCAGATCACCATGTGACCTCCTGCGCCCACGCCCAGGGGCCTGGTGGGATTGTAGCCAATTTCGGGGGAGCCCTGGGAGGCCCAGCGGAGGTGCGTCTTACGCAGATCACCACGAGACCTCGCCGTCCCCTGGGGGGTTGCGATCTGCGAACATGTCGCCAATTTTCCACGGGCTTCCGGGAGGCCCAGCAGAGGAGCATCTCACACAGATCACCACGAGACTTCGCCGTCCCCTGGGGGGCTGGGATCTGCGACTCTGTCGCCACTTTCCGGTGAATCCTGGGGCTTCCAGAGGATGTGCGTCTTACGCATGATCACCATGGGGCCTCGCCGTCCCTTGGGGGGCTGCGATCTGCGAAGCTGTGGCCGCTGTCGTGGGGTTCTGGGAGGCCCATCGGAGGTGCGCCTTGCGCAGATCACCATGAGACCTCGCCGCCCCTATGGGGGGCTGCGATCTGCACCTGGGAGGCCAAGCGGAGGTGCGTCTTACGCAGGTCACCGCGAGACCTCGCCGTCCCCTGAGGGTCTGCGATCTGCGAAGCAGTCGCTATCTTTTTGCTGGATTCTGGGAGGCTCAGCGGTGGTGCGTCTCGCGCAGATCACCATGAGACCTCGCCGTCCCTTGGGGGGGCTGCGACCTGCGAAGCTGTCGCCACTTTCAGGGGGGGTCTTCGAAACCCCAGCGTAGGTGTGTCTTACGCAGATCATCACGAGACCTCGCCGTCCCCTGGGGGTCTGCGATCTGCAAACTGTCGCCAATTTTCTGCGGGCTCCTGGGGGGCCCAGCGGAGGTGCGTCTCACGCGGGCCTCGCCGCCCCCTGGGGGGCCGCGATCTGCGAGACTGTCGCTATTTTCGCCGTTTCCTGGGAGCACCATGTTTTCCAGTGCTGCCCGACGATAATGCATGGTACTGTCCTGGGCGCCAGGTCTCGCGGCGTTCCAGCGCGCCTGCCGAATTGGGCAAGGGGCTGGACCCCAGATCAATCTGCTGTGGGATCAGCTACATGATGATTCTGGAGGGGACTTTTAATTTGTTTCTCCAGGAAGACCGCGCATGGCGGGAGCAGTTCGCACCGGGCGGCCCATCGTCCGTTGTCGGGTCGACCTGGGTGAAGTCCACGTGCCCCACGCTGCCGCATTCTTTCGTGAGTTGGAACGTGGCGCGCCATGGGTCTCTCGATCTTGCCCTGGCTGGACGGGCGGACCTGGGCGTGGAAGCCAGTGGCCCAGCGGAACATCCGTAGGGCTTCCCACTCATCAGCGAGATGCTGCATGGAAGCTTGTGCGCCATTCGCGCCGATTACGGGCATGCCACTGAGGAAATTGCGCATCATTTGCGAGAGCAGAGCTACCAAAAAGTGTGACCTCTCGCCCGCGTCGGGACGAATTGTATTTCTCTTTCATGTCATGCGCAGGAAGGGCGCTGCGTGAAGGAAGCAATCCCCGCTGCAAGATCGACAGCTGCGCGTGTCGGGCACGGCTTTGGCGCGGGGGGGGCACCCGCAGGACACAGCGTGGCGCGTTTCGTTGGCTACCGCTGCAGGTAGATATCAGCTTGCACAACATCCAGGAGATTCCCCCCGTGACAGTTCGGTTGGGGGCATTACTCCAGTGGGCGTCCAGCGCGGCCCCCGAAGCAAGGGGCAGCCGCGTGGCCGACAGCGTCGGGCCAGCGGTTAGGGGAAGACAGCCTCCCCCGCCACCGCCCGGCAGGCCGCGACAGAAAAAAGGCGCCGCGGACGGGGCGATTGCGTATCCGCGCGGCGGCAGCGCCACCAGCAACGCGCATCGGAGGGCCCCGCCTCAACCGCCAAAGAACGGCCCACCGTTGAAACAAATCATGCCGACGATGGACGGCGGGAAAAGCTTCCCCCGAAGGCATTTTTAAGGGTCGTGTTTTCGCGGGCTGGCACGTGCGCTCCGACGGTAGGATGGCCCCCCCCATGCCTAAAGGACCAGCGCCCTCCACGGCGCCGCCGTCGCAGCCGCCGGTGTCATCGGGCGACCCTTCCCGCCGAAGGGCCCTCCGCCTCCGATGGCGCCGCCGCCCCCGGCTGGGCCG